AGGTGGTGTTTCATGAACCAAGTTACCTAAGTAAGGTCACCTGTCCCTCCTAAGGCCGAACGTGTAAGCCTGCTGTCACCCAAGTGTGGTCCAGGGACCCCCGAGGAGCCCCCGTCAGGGAGGTTTACTGCGCTCAGTGAGTGTCCTCTCTTGTGCTGCAGATCAGCACTCAGCCAGTGATTCAGAATAACCCCCCTGCCATTATCTCTCTCTCTGTACACATCCCTCCTCCCTGGTCCACACATTCGAGGTGCTTCAGGATCCCCCAACTGTACTCTGTGTCAATCCCACAGGGAGACGGCTGGGCTCTTTTTGGTAAATCCCTCCTGCACTGGTGCCTAGGAACAGCTTCCATGGAGAGAGCGGGGCAATGTCACGACTCACCTCATCTGTTTTCCTTATCTCTGTGCTTTTCTCTGAAGTCCAATGTCCAAAAATGGTTTCATTTAATTTGTCCAGTTTTCTTGTTGGAAGCTCAGCTCTGTGTTATTGAAGTGTAAGTCAGTGTAATTTATTTTTATTGTATCTTACAAATGCATCAGTCCTTGATGATGGGGGACAAAACCCTGATCATTTAACCAGAGATTATTTGAGAACTGCAGTAGATCCCATTTCCTCCACGACATGTTGATTGAGACCTGGGGAATGAATAGAGCTAATTCAGGTAAAGGCTGAGAACAGAGTAGCGAGGACTTTCTAGGAAGAGGGAGCCTTCCCTGACCATGGGGACCCGTGGAGAAATATGCAAGGAAGAGACCCGACTATTCCACTTGAAGTTGTGCCTGAGATTATTTGAGAAGCTATAGATACCTGCACCGTGCAGAAAATAATTGAAATAATTGAGTATTGCCCGAAGCATTGTCTAGGGCTCTATTCTTAGGGTCCAGGCTGATTCCCCTTTATCATCTCTCCAGCTGTTATCAGGAGGTCAGACCTGCTGTGGTGCAGTTTGTCGGAGGACCACCAGAGGGCGGGCTTCCTTCAGACGTGGTTCATGTTTGCTTTCAGGCGCTGATTTGACTTGCCTGCCTCTGAGGCCTCAAGACAGATGACTTGCTGTGCAGAGAGGGGCTCTCAGTTCCTGAGTGAGGAGTTTCTATAACATCCAGTTGGAGACTAAAGCTGTTAGATTTATTGTATTCCGGGGAGCAAGGACCATTTTCCCCTGCCAACATGCTTTCTGCCACTTACCCAATTCTTGTGATTTTCTTATTATACAGTAAGTAATATTTTAATGTAAATGTTAATGATTTTTCATATTCTTATAATCATAGTTAACTTTTAGTTTACTTCTCCGGCAGAAAACCCTCCTCCTGTGCATTTCTAACATAACAAGGTGATTCTCTTTTAGGGGG